GGAAACCTTATCTTCCAGGATAAATTTGTTCCTTTTATAGTTTTTTTTTTTTAGTATTTAAAAACATGTCCTATGTTCCCTTTATTGCTTCAGGTAACAGTGCAGACCTGAGACTGGTAAAGACTTACCTAGAGCTTGGACTGCCAGGTGCTCGTATAGATTTCCTAATGTCTGAGAGGAACCAGGTGAGTGTCCCACAGGCATTACAGTGATGATCTCCTGTCCTTTGTAAATCAAACACACCCCAAAACATCTTTTCTTTTAATGCAATACTCTTTTCATCCACAGAATGACACGTTTGCTGACTTTGAGTCAATGACAGACCGATTGCTGGATGAAATAGTCCAGTACATTCAGATATACAACCTCACGGTGTCAAAGATAAGGTAAAATGTTCCCTTCTACCCAAATGTAACAGCAGAAGAAAAAAGCATATATTAGTGATTCATCAAGCAGTTGAATGATAGAGTAGCAGTGAGCTCTTCACTCCAGTATATGTGTTCTCAAAGCATAGTGTGCACCATTTTTCCATGCCTTTAAAGCCCACATTATCACTCATATTGCGGAGGCGATGCATCCAGTTATTTTAATTCTATTTCACACACTAAAAGTGTGACAGAGGTGCACATAAATGTTGTTTGGTGTCTTTATGGTTTCTAATTATTCTTTATTTGCAGCTTTGTAGGTCATTCCTTGGGGAACCTCATTGTTCGCTCAGTGCTAACTAGGCCTAGGTTTAAATGTTACCTGAGCAGGCTGCACACTTTCCTTTCTCTCTCTGGACCTCACCTGGGCACATTGTACAACAGCTCTGCTCTGGTCAACACTGGTAAGTTTTAAAACATTTAAGTTTTTAGTGGAAGATGTTACAACTTCTAATTTTTAGATATTTCAGTAACTTTCAGTTCAGTCATTTATCATTATTGTGAAGCCTGTTGAATAACTGTTAACTGTTTGTTCCTAGGCCTTTGGTTCATGCAGAAGTGGAAAAAGTCAGGGTCACTGTTGCAGCTGACGTGCCGTGATCACTCTGATCCTCGCCAAACTTTCCTCTACAAGCTCAGCAAGAAATCTGGTTAGCTTTGCAGTTTTTTATTTTTTTACCAAAGACATTTTAGGCTGTATTTTGAGATTGGAGAGATAACTTTTCTATTTATCTGCTCTTGAAGGTCTGCAGTTTTTCAAAAATGTGGTGCTGGTGGGGTCACTGCAGGATCGCTATGTCCCCTATCATTCTGCTCGAATAGAAATGTGCAAAACTGCATTAAAGGACAAACAAACAGGTGAGTTGGAGCAATATCTCTGATGGGCACGCTGCTGTAATAACTGGCCAAGACAATTTGTGTTTGACAAATGTAGGTGTTCTTAATTGGAGAGGAGCAAGCAAGAAGAACAAGCATAATTCTATGGGTACTGACATACCTGACCACGGTCTGCAATTTGACCCGTTTAATGTGGTTTCTCCGTATTATTTTCAATCTTCAGTCCAGTCTGTAAGTATTTGGTCAGTGACAAACAATTTTTTGTCACTCTCCAAATGTCAATACTATTTTACTACTTTTTAAAGGTGATTGAAGGTGTTCTTCCTTCTGTCCCTCCATTATTTTGTTACTTCTTTACATTCCTCAGTTCATTCTTTATTTCCTGCCTTTCCTACTGTAACTAATTTGTTTAAAAAAAAAAAAAAAAAGGACACAAAGCAGTGTAGACTAAATCAGGATTGGCTGATTTTGTCCATAAACTAAATTGTTGGCCATTGTACTGTTCTACCCACAGAGGCTTAAATTGACTAAAGAATATCGATCGGACCAACCCTTGCCTTGTTCAGCCTCTTTCATTCTTGTCTATACCAGGTCCTGTGTATGCTGAGATGATTGAGAACCTGCTGCTGCCAGTACTTCAGAACAAAGACTGTAATCTAGTGCGATATGATGTCATTCATGCCCTGCCCAACACAGCCAACTCCCTTATCGGCCGGGCCGCCCACATTGCCGTCCTAGATTCTGAGATCTTCCTGGAGAAGTTCTTCCTTGTTGCAGGCCTCAAGTTCTTTCAGTAGAACTGCGGCAGAATCAAACACATGGATGGATAAGAGGAATGTGGAGCTAATACCTCACTGCATCTTAACCTTATTCTGATTATGGTATCTTGATTATCTCTTAGTTTTTAAATAACTACATGTATACTCACTTTTCAAAGACATATGAGCAAAATCACAATTTCTTTCATTTCATATTGGAATCATGGTGGATACTGAGTTCATTTTTATTTTTCTACTGCCATTTTTAAAACATTGTTTTGTTTTGTTGTGTTTGGGAAATGATTTCCCTCATCATATGCTATATTTTCAGTGTTATTTATGTATTATGTTTTTACTTTTAATTATTTTTCTCCAAGTTATTCAATTCATTTTAGATGCTGAACTGGAAATGTAGCTGCTACAAAAATGAAATGGCTGTTTTGGTGAGCTGGCCCGAGTCAAGTCTGCACATACTGTCCTCACCATTGCAAATGTTTTTCCACCAATGTTCAGAGACACTGCATTGATTTGCACCACACCTACATTTTACAAGCTTTTGTACTGAAAATGGTCATTTGTACAAGTTACTTTTTTATCAACAATTTTCCATCAATTTTTAATGGCAAATATTGCATTTGAAATAGGATTGTCGCTCAAACTTTGCAGCCTTGGCTTTGGTCTTAATACTTTACGCTGTTCCTTGCCATTGGAGCATTCTGCACAACATTTACCCAACCTGGTGTTGGGAGAATAAAGCTTTGCCTATGACATAACATTTTATTACAGGGGATTCAAGCAATGATCATGATTCATCAAAAGCACATGTTGGTTATATGAACTTGTATTAATGAAAGTATTTGGTTGGTATCATTTGGTGATTATTTATGTGTTTAAACTGGAAAGTATTGGTTGGAATTAAAAAATGTTTCTTGGAAAATTGTTTATATATCATCATACTCTACCATTAAATATGCATATTATGAAATGGTTATATGACTTATTTATTTCTTGAGTGCATTCAGGATCTATAAAGTAACTACTACTAATGCTGTCCAATATGATTGAAAGTGGGGTTTGTGCAGTTTGTAAAGAAAACAGTCATATTTAAATGTGCTGACTAATTTCAGCCACTGTTGGAACATTTTAGAAAGTCTAGTTCTGATTTATATTGATGCAAAGCTCCTCTCATGATTGGGTTCTTTGTGATTGAGCACATGTAGCAGTGATAGTAATCCTGTAGTTTTTTCAGTACTTGTTTTCAGTTTGTCAGTGTGTTGCCATTTTTTAAAAACAATAATTCTATCATTCTTCCTTCAAATTTGCTTTTCTCTTTATGCAATGGATCAAATGACCCTGCAGATGGCAGTGTCATCACAGTGCATTGGCGAATGTGTGCAGTATTTTGCTTGGAACCTTGTGAAGTGTATTAATACTAAAGTTTATAAATCATACTATTTCAGTGTCATCATTATCAATAATGCTTTCAATACTGGAAGTATTATATATAATGTATTACTTATTAATAGTTACAGCCTTTTTGCAATATACTGATTGGAGACTGCATGTATTTTTTAAAAGGGGATGATTTCACTGACTAGACAAAGACAGACTGAGGCTACAAGGTGACAATGGCAAAGACTATTTTTTAACTCCTTTATTGAAATATTAAGCCCACAGACATACAGTAAACACACATAAAAAAAACAACTATTAAGTAGAAGAGAAACATTTCTTTTCCAACATCCAAAATAAAAAAAGCTAATTAGTCGTGTGTTTCATAGCAGCTCTCCGTCTTCATTCACTGTGAAAGCAGATGATATTAAAAGCAAAAAAGTCTCCGATTCAGAGCCGACATATTGATTAAAATACAAGAGACACTAATTAAAAACTAATTGATTTCCAGGGACAACCTAATGGCATTCTTAGCTAACAACAAGTGTCCCAAACTGTCTCTCTAATTAGCACGAGATCGCTATACCAACACAAAAACACGGGAGGGGGCAACTCTGTTTAGTACTGTATTGAAATATTATGAAGTTTTTATTCCTATATGGATAAAGAAAGTGATGTATTTGTAGGTAATATATATCCGATAAAAAAAAACTAAAATAATGAGTGAATATCACGTAAAACTAGTGCGAACAATCCCAACAGGAATTAAATCACAACAGAATACCCCCACAACTATCAAAAATGGTATGGCTCAATCGTTTGCGCTTCACGGTGGTTGAAGTAGTTACAACACGCAATGGGGAGGGGGACAAACGGGTGTCCTCCTTACTTCTGTCATGTTTTTATTCGGATAAAAAAAAAGAAGATTGTGTCTCTGAACGACCTGCGAGAAGACCTGTGAATGAAATTGGAACCCCTTCGCTTCGTAAAATGTAATGGTAAGAAACTTCTGCTGCTTCATAGTTTAGCTAAATGGGTAGCCAGGGTTAGTGATGCACTTGTTGCGTTAGGTTGTTAATGTTACCATCGCATCCAACCAAACACACACTTTCCCCCCCCTCAGGAACATGTTATTACCACGATTGGGAGAAAATTAGCGTTGAATTTCTTGTTTACAGATGATAGTTTCTCCTGCTTTGTTTCTTATTTGAGATATATCACTCATAAATATTTGTAATTAAGTAAAAAACCACCAAAACTTTCACAGAACTTAACTTTACGGCTGTTAACTAGAAAGTCATGTTGCGTTCAATGGCGTTATGCGAAAATCGTAGATCTGGCATCTTTAGATAATTTGGAGAATACAGGTGCAGTCAGAAAAATCACTGGCAAAGTTTTTATATTCTCATTGAGTCATTGAACGCTGATATAAATGTGTCTCTCTGAGCCTAACAAATGCACTGCTCCCCCCTCTATACTGAAAAGCTGGCTTACCCTATTGTTTTCAAGTGGGATGAGTGTAGTTGGTGTTCCCCTGTTTATTCAGATACCCCCTCTTATCTTATTCCTGTATGGTTTTAGCGGGCAGCGAGGATCCCTGACACTTCAGAGAGCTTGCACAGTGCAGACAGAGGGGATGTTGTTTTTCCAACAGCCAGCAGTGTGCTCAGAAGTGGGGATTATGACAGTCTTGTAGGGGAATTAAGACATACAGATGGCTGCTCTCATGTGATGCCAGGTTTCACCCTGGTCAGCAACAAGGGGGATGTTGAAGACGTCAGCCAGCACTGCTTGGGCTGATAGTAAACTTGTTTTGGAGATGGGATGCAGTAACTAGTGTAGTTCATATTGTACTCTGGATTTGTGGCTGTGTAAGGTTGGTATGGTTTCCCCTCTGTCTCTAGTTACTTAGTACTTCACCAGCTGTTTGTCTGTTGATATTTCAGGCATATTTTGATGTTATATGATAACACTGATAACTATCACTGTTTATTCTTGCAAGTATTTGTATGTTTGCTTTGTGTTGTTGATAACAGGTTATCTACAAAAGAGGAAAAGTGGCCAAATATTGCATTGCATTTGGCTGCCTAACAATGCTTTTTTTTTCAGAGTCAGGACAGATGCAAAAACAAACAAAACACCCACAAGGCAATCCAAACTCCTGTACAAAACATTTTCTTGTTAGAAAATCTGTCTCCATTTTTCAGTCTCATTGCTTCACATGTGAATTGCTCATAAATTGCTCACATAATGTCAGCAACCTCTTCTTCCAATATCTCAGCAATCCAAAAATCCAATATAGTGTATTATCACAAAGTATTGGAGTATTTTAAGCAGTATATTGCACATTTCAGTGTATTCACCAACCTTAGCATCGAGCTACAACACTCTAAATGTGGAAATAAATTCTACTGAAGAAGAACTCTAAGACACAAAAAGTAGTTTATGAGTAAAAAGCTTGATGTAAATACGTTGTTAGCGTGGTAATATACTTGGGTGGGTCTGTTAAGTTTTTGTACCATTTGCTACAGAGACCGTGTAAATGTACAGTATAGTTTGACTCTGTCATAAACAAGTCAGATGTTTAAGCTACTGGAATTTCAGGTTTTTGATGTCTGTTTGCGCTGACACACAGATGTGAGTGAGGATGTGTTTAAACATGTCTATAAATCATATTTGCTATGACAAATGTTTTTGCCTTTGAGCCTAGAACATTCACTTTTGTAGTTCCCACAACTTGTTTTGTACGCTGAAAAACGTATATAATGCTTTATTTAGTTCTGATTTATCTCAACAGAGAGGCCATGGTACTTTTAAACATATATAAACATATTTTTCCTCAGTGTATGTTAAACGTCTGGAGAGTTAGGTGTAAACATACATGAGGAAGAAAGAAACACCAGTTTGTTTGCCTAAGATCCCTTACCATGTTGGTTGTTTGTTTTCTTAGTCAAAAGTAAAATATCTTCTACTTATTTTTACTCAGAGGAGGTCGGCACAAGAACAGGCTGCTTCAGTTAGGGATCATTTGTCTTGTTTTTTTTCCTTTTCTATTTTTACTGGTTATTGTCCAGAGCAGGATTTAAGGGGATCAGAGTCGGCGCGCAGCGGTAATTAACCTGATTAATTGATTCTGAGACGTTAATCAGATGAGCCTCGTACCAGTTGGGGCTCCTGGGTCAGCATAGTGGGGCAAGCTTCAGGTGAGCTTTGGTTGCAAGTAGACTATCCTAGACCGGCATGAGCATTCATTTTGGTAAGTTGAGCAATAATAGAGTTTCTTTTTGTAATATTGTGCTGCTGTAGTTGCTGTTGGAATAGAAAAGGTATGCACTAGGATTATCTGACTGATTGTTTCCACTTAATGACTATTATTAGGCTTTGAGTATGATAAGCTCATTGAATCTGCCCAACTATTTCTCTGTTTTTCAATTATACACTATTGTAGTGTTTGCTGATCATTTGGGTCAAGGTGCTTTTTAAGGTAGACCAACTTATGTGATCTATTTGTGTCATGATTTATTTTCCTCTGGAAGATAATAATTGTGATGGCCTCCAACCCCTTGGTGGGTACAAGCCATGTTGAGTTAATCTTGACTGTGGGATAATAGGAGACATCCATGCACTTATGTCTGAGTATTGGATTGTTTTTGCTTTGACTGATTGACAGTATCATAATGGAGAGGGTTCAGTTGAGGTGGTCTTATTTGTTGGATTTCTTGCAGTTTGCTATTTGACCTTACACATGAATTGATAATCTTTTAAATTCCATTCTGCTGTCGTCGTCATTCACATTGTGAACTGTTGTTGGATCATGTTTTTTAATTTCTTTGCTTATCTCATTCTGATGTCATCTGTATCTTTAGACACAATATGGACGAACTCCCCTGGAACAGATAAAGAGTGAAGGATAGAGGAAGCAAGAGAAGACAGAAGCATTTCAACAGAGAGAAAGTACTTATCACCGACATACACCGCACGTCATGTCCACCTCGATAAAGCAGGAGAGAACCATTTGTGTTCTCCTCCCCAACAAAGACCAGCTGGACATCGCTGTCGGGGTGAGTGTTTAATATCTCTCAAGCTGTCCTCTCGACTGTCACAGAGAGAGATCTCTACAGATGGTCAAAGTTGTGTTCATCATTACAGTGTTTTGGCCGTACCACATAGATTTTGTGCATTGTGAATGCATATTGAATATGGACTTCTTTGTCTTTTCACCTGCTCCAGCCAAAGTCCACGGGGCAGGATGTTTTTTATCGTGTGGCAGAGCTTCTTGGAATCAAAGAGCTGCACTTCTTTGGCCTCACGGTGGTGAAGGGTAAGTCCACTCCTCATAGTCCCCTCAGCCACTGAACCTGAAAGGACACTAGACTACATAACAGTATTGCCAAAAGGCTGAAAAATATGATAACTGGGTAGGAAGTTTTGTCCATCACATCATGCACACACAGTACCTGCACCACATTTCAGCAGTCAGTTACCTTGTAAACAAGAGCATTATGTTTTGATTACATTTTACTGCAGGGTTTTTGCAGGGCCACCATTTTGGTGGCATGTGTTCATGTAATATTGTGGACAATGTTTTCTGCCAAAAGGCTATTCCGCTAAAACAGAACCAAAAAAAAATCTGCCCTCCCAGTCTGCATAATTGAATGGTGTAATCCACTTTATCCACTGAGCAAAGTTCTGAACTTTCTGTTTCCTTATGTTCTTGTTCTCTGTCTTTGTACAAATACGTTGAAATGCCTTGTTAATCTTGCGCGGCTCACCACTTGAACAAGCAGCCTTTTGTTTTTGTGGTGTTGGTTCAGCGATCACTTAGGCCTGGATTCCTGCAATATTAACTTCATTAAGCCTGGAATGCACCCTTGCATTCCTCCTCTTCATTGAGGGGAGGGACGGATTGATGATGGGAAGTGGAGGGTGGGAGTGGAGGGAAAAGATGTAGGGGGACTGGTCATGACACAGGCCGCCTTACTCAACTCTCACTCAAAGGCCTCAATGAAGGATGAGAGGTGAAGGAGTGTAAATGAGTCAGAGTGTGAATGAGACAGACTGAAAGGAGAGATGGATGGTTAAAGGAACGAGTTGTGAAACAGCTCGGCCAGCATGATTTGGCTACACAAATTCGAACAAAAGAGATAAGGTGCATCAAATAGGAAATGCCCATGTCATGACTCATAGGAGCAGGCTGAGAGTGACACAATATCCTCACCATCAGCACAGGTTATAAAGAAGAGAAGAAGAAGATATATACTTTCTAAACGTTTTATAACTTTTACTAAAATATAATTCAAATTTGTTTTTGATAAAACAACATTAAGGTTGGTATATGATTATATTGCAGGATAGATCAATGGCCAAATATCAGGAGAAAAGTTATGCTATGTTGCTATGTGTCTACCCGTCTCTTCACATGTTTAAAGAATGGTAAACCAACACAGCTCCTGCCAGCAGCATTTAATCTCTGCTGCCATGCTACCACTGGAATTAGAAAATAGATAGACATCAACATTAGCATTATTGTCATTAGCTTCCTAGTAGCCTCATTCACAAACGGAAGAACAGGGGCGTTTTTCTTTTACCCTCATTAATCCCATTGTTGGACAAATTTTACGCTTGGTTACATAATTGTTTTGTTTGCTAACTAACTGTCTGCTTGTTTCCTGGTTGTCTTTCTCCTGCTTAGACAATGAGCACATATTTTTAGATATGGAGGAGAAACTGACTAAGTACTTTCCTAAGGAATGGAAGCAGGATTCAGGAAAGGTAAGGCTGCCTGTTGCCAAGGGTTGCAAATTTTGATAGAGTAAATTAGGAGCATTTTGCTGTGACCCAGTCCCAACTGTTGTGTGTGTCAGTTAATTGGGAGGCACAGTTCAGTGGCCTACATGCCTAAACTTTTCATTTAGCATGACAAAAAAAAAAAAACTAACACTAACACTCACAGGCCCTTTTTAACATGTCTCTTTCTGCATACAGGGATTACAGAGGAGACCGTTGCCTCTAGTGCTCTGCCTCAAAGTGCAGTACTACATAGAAAATGGTAGACTCATTTGGTATGTCCTTCTATATTCTATATGCATCTTCCTCACTATTAAGACAAGCTTGCTTTACTTTATTGCCAGTGTTCTTCTCTTCTTAAACTTTTTCATCCGTCTCTGTCCTCCTTTCTGACATGTTTTTGTGTCCCTCCCTCTTTTTTTGTTATTTTTTTGGTGTGTGGTACCAGTGAGCGAAAGGCACGGCATCTCTACTACTCTGACTTGCGGGAGCGGGTGCTTCGCTCTGAATGTCGTCAGCAGGAGGAGGTGTACTTCCAGCTGGCAGGTTATGCCTTGCAGGCTGACCTCGGTGACCACCCACTGCCCAGGGAGGATATGGAGATCACTCCTTACTTTGAACCCAAGGAGTACTTTCCCCCTTGGGTAGGCGAACTTTTGAATCTAACTTTTGATTTTAAAAGTTTGTGTTTGATTTACAAATTGAGGTTATGTTGTGTTCTAATACATGTCTGTCACTTGCTTTTTCTGTAGATTGTAGCTAAGCGCGGAGTAGACTATCTCCTCTGCCATGGGCCCAAGGTGCATCAGGAGCAGTGGGGCATGTCTGCTCGTGATGCCATCCTGCTCTTCATCAGGGAGTCATGTCGACTGGAGGATGTCCCTGTCACGTTTTACAGACTGCAAAAGGTCATATGTCAATTTAGTATTTCAGTTTCAGTCATTGAAACAAGTTGCTTGAATTGAGTTTTTGAAGCACACACGACACTGCAGCGTGTTTTTTTAATTTTTTTTTATTAATAATAATTCATTTGTATCATAAAAGAAATGAGAAAATTGGGATTATTTAGGTTAGTGAGTAATGTGATTTCAGCTCCTTTTTAATCTATGACTATACCTCTGACCAAAATACTGTCTTTCACAAAACAAATGGAGTTAGTTTGGCTTCGTTTGAGCTGTGCTGGACAAATGACTATGGGGCTGTTATGTAACCCTCCATCTACTCCATCTAGTTTATTGTCCTCCCCATTCCAAAATCACTCATCTACCGAGTGACATTTTGAAGGCTGGCCGATCCATTGCATAATGTGCTCCCACTTTTAATTTGTTGTTAGCAGCAGCCCAGTGTTTCCCAGTAAACTAGCGGAGGGGCTTGACAGTGGAATTACAATCTTATCTGAACTGCTCAGATGCCTCTCTGACATCTCATCATTCATTTGTCCAGGACAAAAAGGCAGAGAGAGGAACGGCGTTGCTCGGTCTGACCCTGCGAGGAATGCAGGTTTATCAGGTGCGTGCATGTGTGAGTGTGTTATTAATGCATAGTATACACGTCAACACATACGTAACATAAGAGTGAACCTGCGTTGGCTCAAAGATTCAGTCTTTGTATCTGTAGTGCTATAAAACCTCTGACTAGGCGTGTGAGGAATGTGTGGGATTGCCACCAACAGCAGTGCATTAGGAGATAGGAGCTGTCTGCCATGCCCGTCAGTTGTTTGATCTGTCCATCAGGGGCCATCTGGGGGGGATTAGGGCTCCAGGCCTAGCTGATTAAAGAGCCAACAGACCGTGAGATATCTCGAGAAGCTCTTGGCCTCTTCGCCAAGTCCAGATGGCTCCTGCAAACAAAAAGACAATTGATTATTGATCACAAAAAGTACATTACACATGCAGAAATGTGTTGCTTTTTTACAACACGAAAGCTCACAAACAATTAGCTATTTCTTTAAGTAAATGTGTGTGTTTTGTATTCACAGGAGGTGAACAACCTGCGACAGCTGCTTTATGACTTCCCCTGGTCAAATGTGGGACGTCTTACTTTCCTGGTATGCACTCTGCTCATTTCCATTCTCTGTTAAGATTAGGTGGAATTGTTGTAATTATTTAAAGGGCATTAACTATGTACCCTACATATAATTTGTTATCCTATTCAGGGTAAGAAATTCGAGATCCAGCCAGATGGCTTGCCATCCGCCAGAAAGCTGGTTTACTACACTGGGTCGTCTTTCCGCTCTCGTCACCTCCTCCTGCACTTGAGCAGCAGCCATCGCATCTACCTCAGCCTCCAGCCTGCCCTCAAACACCTACGCCAGCTGGAGGAGAGCGAAGGTAGGGGAGGGAGAAGTGAATACAAAGACAAGATTAGTATCAGTGATCATTAGCGTTTGGCTCTGGGCCACTTGTAGTCAGCAGGACACTTCAGTGGCCACTAGAAGTTGAAGACATAAGGTTTAGGCTATAGAGGCTTTAGACAAAAATTCAAAAGGATTCCTGTTTAATGAACACATTTGTCGCACAGTAATTGTTTAAATATTTTATATATATATATATATATATATATATATATCTATTGGACAAATATAATAAAATGTGTCATATAAAGATACAAATATAATCCTTGCTCCTCAATTTGTGTTTTGATGTGTTTTAAAGGTCTAAATATAGTAGTCTTAAGTCTAAATGAATAAACTGTTAGAATCAAGTGTTTTTCATTTATCAGTAACCATGAAAGGGTTGGCAGTTTTATTTTCAGCATTTCAAGAAGAAGTGCTGACAGCAGCTCTATAAAATTAATTTTCACATCATTTTCCGTCAGTTTCCAGTTTACCCAGTGACAGCTAGTATCCTCGGTATATCTTCTGTCTGTCACCCAAACACCAAACACAGCTTTCTTTACATGTTAAACGCTCTTTTCTTTATTTTAGAGAAAAAACGTTACAGAGAGTCATACATCAGTGATGACCTGGACTTGGACCCCCCCGGCAGTGAGAGCAGCCCCGGCCTGTCCCGACACTCCACCAGCAGCTCTGGAATCGAAGCTGACGCCCGCCAACACAGCATCTCCACAGAGATGGCCTCCATGGAGGAGGAAGGTCAACGGCGAGCAGAGAAGTGTTTCAGCTCAGCGGCCAGCCATGGCAGCTCCTGTACCTCTGGGTTTGACACAGGCAGTAAGGCTCGAATAGAAGATGAGGGATGGCAAGAGGAAGGTGAGATTTTTATTCTGTATCTTTTGGACATTTGTTCCATCCCCTCTGCATATTTTCTTGAGTAAACAGTGCTTCCACAAGGCTATGCAAAAACATGTTGCTCAATAAAGATTATGTGGTGTTGTTATTATTTTATTGGTGTTCTTGCAGTAGCCAGGACCTCAAGCCCTAGTAGTACATGCTGTGTGCAAAGTTAGTTTATTTGGTCCATTGTGCTCTTACGTGCAGATACTGTATGGCCACCGTGGATGAGATAGATTTGTTTATATTTATTTTTTCAGAGCTCAAGACCAGTGTTGGAAGCCCCAAGGAGGTTCTCGTGGATGATCCTGATGAGATGTTCCAGTTAGCTGATCTTCTTGAAGGGGTGTCAGTGGATTGTGCACAACTCTCCTTAGAGACTCACTCACCAGGTGTGAATAATGTAATTACGACATACGGAATATTGTGTAAATAATATATTATTTGTTTTCATCCCAACAGTTAAAATAAATTGTTTTTGTATTTTCATACTTTGTTTGCTCTCTTCTTCGTTAAAAGTGGGCTCTACAGAAAACAAAGTGTGCCTCCCAGCCAGTGATGAAGATCTCGGGAAATTGCGTAACAAGGATATGTTAAAACAGGTTGGTCATCTGTCTTTTTTTCCCACGCCTTCTTTTTCTTTTCCGTCTTTTGAATTTTCCTGTTGTATTTTATCTTTTCCTCCTGTCTCTATTCTAGATGCTGAAATCTAGGACACAAGTTTGTGTGGATCGGCACAGCCACAGTCTAGATGATGTACGTCTGTTCCCACCTCCGGCCCCCCTGGGGACGACACTGCCACCTGATTCCTCCCACAGCTATACCTTTGGGCTCCCAGATGTCTCAACAAACAAAAAGACCCCTGTTGATCACACTCATTATTCCCTTTTGCACTGCCAAGCCAAACCTTCTTTCTATGGCCGCAGGTCTACCAACTGCCTGTCCCTGGACATGTTAGGTGATGAACAGTTCCTAGAATTCATACTTTAAACATGTCAAGCATCTACAAATACGCCTGTTCTCTTCTTTTATATACAGGGCAACTTAATGTGTAGGTTGCCAACGTATGAATGTCTCAGTGTTTTCTGTGAGGGGACGATGACAGCCGAGGGATGTGTGTGCTTCAAATTACAGAGAGACGTCTCATTCTTCTTAGAAACGCTGTGGATTATATGACAGCAACATTTCAATCAGTAAACAGAGCATATTTATTAATGTTGTATATTGTGTACATACTACTTGCACTATTTTATTACATTTCATTTTCTTTGAGTGAGAACATTTCTAATCAATTTTATTGTCTTTTTGTAAAGTTCACGTCTTTTGTAAAGTTTTTTCATTTTATTTTATGAAATATTGGAATGGGTAACGTTTGACATTTTTAAGCCATGCAGTCGGGCTGCATTGGACATTCATAAAATGGGACTTACTTTCCTTTCCATTACCCTATTTGCTAATGTAAACACTTCCTTGTTTTATTCAGAAGAATGTCCAGAAGCCACAGTGCTAATGTTTGTGCTACTGTATTCTTCTGTTTTCTTTTTTTTTTTTAAATCTTATTTTATCATATACTCTATTTTTGTATAGTGTGCTCTGTCATGCTTTTCCTATTAGTCTGCCACAGCAATGTAGCTGCCGATGTGGAAAATTGAACCTCTTTACAGCTGGTAATGCATTCATCCAAAGCTTCCCCATTCTATACTCTCCTCCTGCTGTCGTAATTACAACTGAAAAGTATTATTTGTATAGCACTATTTCTGTAACCAGCAAGTGTATAATGAATCTGCAGTATTTTTGTATTATGTAACCCCCAAACAAAGAGACCCTCTGTCTGGGTTCTCTCGGACATTATTTTCACTGTTTTGTAAATGATAATTGCTATGCAAAAGACTTCTTTAACCAGTATGAACTCACTCGTCATCAAGCACAGGAAAAAACTTTCATTCAATGCCAATAACGTACGAACAACTTTCAGTGTTAATCCACAATACTGAATGAGTCATTTTTATCTGAAGCAATGTTTTTTTTGTTTTTTTTATCATAGTCAAAATAAATTCTTAATGCTACTAAATGAAACCAGGGTTTTGGTCTTTTTTTGTGCTGTTGATCCGGTATGTTATTAATGTTGGGCGAGCCAGAGAGAACACCTTTGAACTGTTCATCAGCTGGTTGCAAACAGAGAGCAGGTTTCTGCAGATACACACACTGTCACACACTTTTAATGGATCATAAGTGATGATTTAGAGGGATTATGTTGTATGAGTCTATACATTGTTTTTTTTATGGAAATCCTGCTTAGTATGCTTTTAAAAAAATGATATCCTCTTAATGGGTATATTGTTTTTTTGTTTTTTTTTCAATTTGTGCAAAGCATGAGATCCTACTCACACCTCTCGCGAGAGTTGGGGGTGGGGGGGGATTACGTTTGCGGAAGTTTACATTCTGTTGGTAAAAACGTGTTGCTCATGGCAGCAGTGGGAAACGCCGGTTGCTGGTTGTCTTTAGCTCGTTTGTTCCCGGCAGTATAACAGCTGTCTACAATGTATTCCGTTTTAATTAACGCGGTCTTGTCCAGCTCTCCTGACTATGGCCTGTTGTTTGAGTCTCTGTCCTGGCCGACTGACTCGTGGCCGGGGACGGAGCGGGTGGAGGCGCTGACAGCTTTCATTGAAGGACTCGGACCGCTTATGGCCGACTCAAACACGACTTTCTCAGAAGCGAAAAAAGCATCTATTAAAGATAAAATCGAGTCGGTGATTTGGACCCAGTGTCTTCCTCTCCTTTCCACAATATCAGCCGAAGCCGGTGAAGGCATGCGGTGCAGGGAGAGTACCGCTGCTGCCTGCCGACTTGTGAGTGTCTGTGTCCCGCTGTGTGACGAGGCTGTACCGGGGCGGGTAGCTCTGTCCGTCCTGCCGTCCCTCCAGCTGTCGGAGGAGGAGGCGCCCGGCCCGGGACGACTCAGTGTGGAGGTTGCCAGCGAAGTCATGGCTGCTCTCATACCTTCTCTGTCAGCGGATGAGCAGCTCACACTAACCACCCTGTCATCTGCCTTGTCCTGCATCAAAACACTCCCCGATGCACTGGTCTCCAGAATCACAGTCAGGCTTCTCCTAACCCTCCTGAACTGCTGCAGCGGGGCGAGGTCAGGAAGCAGCCTCGGGTTGATCCTGGATGATCTGTGCAGCTGGCACTCCACTGACCGCACACCTGTGGCTACAGAGCGGGCACTGCTGTGTTTGACCGCCCTGTCAGACCACCTGCTGAAGCCTCACAGCCTCTCCTCCTCCTCCTCCTCCTCCTCCTCCTCCTCCTCCTGTGAGCCTTGTCTGTCGGTCCAGTTCTGGAGGATGGTTCAGGATGGACTGACGCACAGGGACAGCGTGTCACGTAAGAGGGCGTTGTACCTGTTGAAAAAGTGCGTGGCCCTGTCAGAGGAGGAGGGGGTGGACTGTCCTCTCTCTCCATCAGGGGAAGGTAAAAGATGTTCAGATGCTGACACTGCACCGACTTAAGGTTCACTGCTGTTACATGGTCTGTTTCGTACTGTTCTCGAACTTGTTTGCAGATGAGATCTTGTTCAGATGGGCCTCTAGCAGGAGCAGGTTGCTGAGGGAGTTCTGGGAGGATTATGTGCTGGTGATGGAGACCCTGGAGGAAAACCAGGTAGAGAATCCCACATGGCTGTTGTTCGGATGTGTGCATCACAATAAACAGATTTGTAATGTTGGTTGTCTCTATTTCCTCTGCAGGTTCATGTCGTCCGGCCAGTTCTGAACAGAATAGACACATTGATCCAAACAACAGTGAATGATAGTCAAGGTAACACTAGATTTGGCCAACATGAGGAGTTGCTTTTATATATTTTTTCATGAATGTTTGCAATGATTCAATTCTTCTCCACCTGTTTTCAGAAAATAAGTTTTTTATTTTAGACATTTCTGGTTTTGTTTTGGTGTAGATTGGTAGTGATGTGGCTGTTGAAGACAGTTGGATAAGTCCATCCCATTAGCCTTCCATGAATCAAAAGGGCGAAACTGAACATATAAACTTTCATCAAAATTCACTATTTCATCAATACACTTTTGCTTGTTTTATTGCAGACAATGGCAGACTCATCCAAAGTTTCAGTTGCAAACTTTGCCAAATTAGGTATAGCCTGTTATCAGTTCTCTGTCTGTGTTGCAGCTTCAGGTCAGAGCCTCTTCCACCCATCCTGGCTGCTGTGTGTGTACCAGCGGATGTTCCACAGTGAGAATAAATCCTTAATGAGAGAGGGAGTGTGTCATCTTCTCGAGCTGCAGGTCCTGCAGCAGCCAGACTTTGCTTTGGCCTTTTCTCAGGTACAGGCTCAGACCCAATTTACTCAATGTGACTTAGTGCTTACTGTGAGTGTGTTACTAATGCCTCGCTTTGCTCTTCAGTTCATCGTTGGCCCTTTTATGGATGTTCTCTCTGAAACTTCGCTCTTCCAGAGGTGGGCGTTTCAAACCAAGCAACTACATAAAATACTACAGGAATTACAGCGTTATTAAGTGTTTTTGCACCGGTCCTCATTAACACACCTTCTGTCCACATGTAGGTCACTTGAGGAGAAAGTAGGCGATTGTCCTGAGCTTGGGGCTAAACTCCAAGTCTTTGTGGCCACCTTCTTCAGCAGCCTACCGCCAGAGCATAGAGGTACAGAGGCCACAGAGAATACATGTTAACAAAGCTCTGAGTCATTTCTCATGGATAAAATGCCTGTCCATTACTATTATATTTGCTTTGTAGGCTGTATGTTGCTCCACATGATCCAGCAGCTGTGCTCAAAACACTGGTGTGCAGTTCCCCTCCTCTTCCTCTCCCAGGCTCTATCCAGACTCCCCCCAAGTCCACTGCTGGGGCTCGATGGGCTCACAGCTGTCAGGTACCTGTTTACAGTTCGGCAGACTGTGTCATCATAGCTGATTATGCCTGATAATGGAGCTCATTTTAATCTGTGGTGTTCACAGAGAGGTTCTGCGCTGCACCATGGTCACTCATCAGGTCCTGCTGAGAGGTGCTGCTCAGTGCTTCCTGCTGAATAGCGCCCTCTCTCTCACAGACGTGGTAAGACACAAATATTGTCCATAGTGCTAAAATAACTGCAATACTATAAAAGATAATATGGCCGATCTGTAGCGTTTTAAGTGAATATGCTGTTACCTTACTTTCAGCCAATGGTGGTGAGGGTCAGGTTATGACTACAGAACTACTGATGCAGTTGTACAGTATTGATTAATTCTTAAACAATTAATTTAGTAGTTGATTAACAGAAAAAATATTAAGAACAATTTTGATCATTGTAGTCATTATCAAGTCGAAATATAAAAATAAAATCGTTTCACACTATCAAATAAAAGTAAGAGTTTGCTGCTTTTCTCAGTTTTTCCTTATAAATGTAATATATTTCAGTTGGAAAAGTACAAACGGTAAAATAGTTGAGAATACTAGTGCAAATATAGAAAAACATTTTAATGTGCCAAAGGGAAAAGTGCAGGAAAAGAGTGGGATATTTGATCAATGACACTGAGAACTACAGCATCAAAAATAGATCTGTAGGTAAACTACATCCGACAGTCTCAACAACACACAAACACTAAACTCACATAGGCCTGTCTTTATTATTTTGTCCAACCCCAGTGCTTTCATACGTGCTTTAAAGTCAATGAGTTGTATAATTAAGATATCTTGTTTCAGAGCGCAGTGACCTTAGATGATGTTTTTAGTTTCCTGATGGATTTTCGTTCAGACGAGTCACTGTGTAGAGGGACGCAGATCTGGAATCAGGTACGCTGTATTAAAGACATGTGATAAAATGACTGTTGAGGGAAGTTGTATGTTTGCCTAATTGCTACCCTACATATTTTTGACATTGCTGCAGGTGTGTGCCTGGCTATTGGAAAATGAAGGCAGTTTCAAGCCCAGGATTCTGGATGGAGATTGTACTGATGCCGCCACAAAGAAAGAAATTGTAAGAAGCTATGTTCAAAGCGAGATACACGCTTATCTCCGAGTCCCACCTAGCACAGGTAAGTCTGAAGTGAGACAGCGATAGATAAATCCGTAGATTACACTTGATGGAGTTGGTGTAAGGTAGTCTCCCTGCTCCTCAGGTCACACTGAGAGGTTACCTGACCTGAGGGAGGCTGATAAGTTGGCCAGGGCCATTCTGCTGTGTGTGGACATGGAGAGGAATCAACTCGGGGCAGAGATCAGTAACACTCTGGAGTCAATACTGTCTCCGCTGCTGGACACCCTGAGTCGAGTCAGCACCAATATCTACTTGCCTCTGCGTAAGAGTGACAAGAGCCTGCAGCTCGTGCTCCGACTGTTCCAGCTTGGAGGAACACCAAGCTGTCAGCATGCTGGAAAGGAGCAAGGTTAGTAAGGATAACACTGATTCATTGTTACAGCTGTTAAGTGCATGTGCAGTAGGTACAGTAGTTGGATATGTACATTCCTTGTAAATATTACCCTCATAAAAATGTAGTTAATGGTAATGCTATCTTACAAGGTGCAAATGATATATTTCCCTCCCATTGAAAGGTATCTATGTGTTTTCTGACATTTTACAAAACAACATTTTAGGCATCAAAGGATTCTTACTCTTTTCTTGATGTCACTTTTTCTTGCATCTCAGATTGAGAACTGCTTATGGAGTGCACTCCAATATTAATCCTTTCTTTTTGTTTCAACACTCGCTAGCTTCAAGTAATTCTGATCATCAAATTATTCCTTTATAATTTTGTATTTAGACCAGATCTCTGCCTTTAGAAAAACTTAATTTTTCCTTATGTCTTCTTGTAGTACTGTGCTTATAGGACTCCCTGACATACTGTATATTAACAGCTCAGGAGTGTGTGACACCTCCTCTCATTCTGCTTTTCACAGTGGATAGCGTGATGGTCGCCATGAAGAAGCTCTTTTTCAAACTCATCGATCCAATCCAGGAGTTCATCCTGAGGCGGCTGTTTGCGGAGCTGCAGGAGGTAAACAGCCAGTCACCATCACTGAAGTTAGCATATATACCCCTGGTGGCTATCTCTGATGTG